GCCTTCCAGATCAATCACTGTAGCTGGCGGTTCTCGCAAAACGCCAAATGTCTGTGACTGTTCAAACAACTCCAGGTCCTTGTGAAAATTCGGATGTTCCTCGCTCGCAAACACGACACTCTCCACCAGGCTGTTCGAACACGCAAATTCAGAAGTATCAGCTGCACAAAACCCAATGTACACTTCTCGCAAATGCTTGTCCTTGAGCGCTCTGAGCGCGAAGCAGTGGATATCAGATATCGTATGGAGATGCTTGAGCTTCTCCTCCAGCTGATCCTGAAAACCTTTCAAGATGCGCGTCCAACCTTCGGGAGTCCTTCCTTGCGGCCGTTCTCTCTGAAAGAGCTGCTCCAGATAAAGTTCTCTGAGCCGCTGACGCAGGGCGTCGGCCGAGGCTTCTGTTGCTGCCGTGTTTGCTGCACAATCTAGAAGTAAGCTGGTCCACTCAGGCACACGGAACCAGCTCCGCTACCATGAACGAATGCACGGTCTTTTCCAAACACTCTAGAGCCTGAAAGTCACGGCGCGGTCCATATAATCACATGTGTTCTCATGCCACACATGATCAGGAAAACACTACAAAATCGCCAAGGAAAATGGGGTATGCTCATATGTGTCAAAAGTCAACAGAACAAGATGCTGAGAGGTTGTGCATGGCGTCTCGCAGAAGGAGCTACTGCTAAGTGAGGCCGGGTCCTGTAACGTCCACCGGCTGAGGGGCAGGTAACCTGGCCGAGGGCACGGAGAGCGGAAAGTGCTTGTGAAGGAAAGAACCCGGCCTGAAGAGGGCTGGACCTGAGCAGGGATAGCATGACGAAATCTTCATGGAAAGGCCGACGCACGTGCTGCAGGGGTTTTTTGGCCGGCGTGCAAGGCTGTATGCGAGAGGCTATGCTTCTGGATCTCCTTCGGAGTCCAACAAGGCTGAAGGTCCTTGGTACTGGCAGGCGTCGACGGCTGCCTCTGTAAAGTAGACGGCTATCGTGGGGAAGGCTTGCTGAAGTGTCAAGAGCAGCCCGGCTACCCTGGCGTAAGTCTGGTCCAAGCGGATCCTAACGGCGTCTATCTTGGCACTGATAAAGACCCAGGGCGAAAGAAGGCACCGAAGGCGCGGCTGCTCATGAGCTCGACGGCTATGGTGCCACAAGGCTTGCTGCGCGCCACGGCGGTCGGCTTCCAAAATACCGATGCGAGATTCTAAAGATCTTAGGCGATCGGCAAGGGACTGCACTGTCGGCTCGTCAGTGGGCTCCTGGCTGAAGTCCTGGGTAGAAGGCTGTGGCTGCAGAGCATCGTAGGCAGAGCTGGTATCAGGGTCCAAGGCTAGGGGACCCGAAAGGCCAGCATTCATACGTCCCATGGCTGAGAGGTTGGTCACATTGGCAGTCGGCTGGCCCTGATTCCATTGGAGGGCAGGGCTATTGGCAAAAGAAGGCCAGGGGGAGCGCTGTGCGCGCTGATCCTCGCGGCGGGGCTGCTGGTTTCCCCTCATGCTGTCTCAGCCAAAGAAGCTAGCAAGGCAAGGTGCAGCTGGCCGGACACGAAGCAGTTGCATCATAAGGCAGGGCCCGGACTCTGGGAATGACACCGGTCATGTAGATCCCGAAAAATCTGCGGAGTCGGGCTGGCAGTCGCACGAGGACGAACTGAAGGCAGGTGATGCAGAGGGCGGGGCCGAGTGCCGACGACCTGAAGGCAGAAAGGGCTGCTTAATTTGAAAGCATGAAGGACAGCGAAGACCTGCTCGGACCAGCATCTTGTGTCGCTCTAAGCGACAGTGGTCCCCTGTGCTCGCGGCATGCCTTTTCCATGTAGCCGCACTTGAGCCAACATCCGTTGGCGATCGCGTTTGTCTCCTGTGATCACAGAGGTTGTTTCGGAAAGCCTAAAGCACAAAACACACCGGTCACAATCTAAGTTCCGAAACAACCATAAAATACACTGGCTCGTGCTTCTGCTGTCTTTCGAGCGCTTTGCGCTGCAATGCCACGCCTTCTTCAACAACCGACCAGTAGCCACAACCCATGACGTAACGCAAGTAATCACCGGGGTGGCACTTCGTCAGAGGATCAGCCAGCATAGCACGAGTATCTATCCAGCGTATGGAGCCTGAGGTCTCCTGCAAATCTGCCTTAATCACTGACAAGTCTATGGTACGCTTGTCGGATATGTAAGCAGAGGTGCTTGTCAGCTTTCCAAGAGCATCATACAGACTCTTAGAATCAACAGCAGCAAAGAACGGCAACCTAGCAGCGTGAGCTCTCCAATCGCTTGGGGACAACATGCGGTGGAAAGCCTCCATGAAAAGAAGACGGTGCCAATGCACCGACCCTATCCCTGCTTGGAGAGCTTGGCCCTCCGCTGCAAGGGTGTCTACAACCTTGCGCTTCAAGCGAAAGCTGCGCCAAGCGGCGATCGTAGTTCTCTCCGGCTTTCCGGAGCTTGCTAGGGCCGCGTCGTGATAGATCACGATCTGACCTCCTTGACTGCTCAAGTTCTGCAGTTGACACAGGCTGCTGTGAATCTTGCTTGCAGGCACTCCTTTGCCAGGGGTGGACTTTTGAAACACTGTACATCCAGTCCACGGTGTCTCTCGGAGTCCCCTGATTCCCTTTTGGTCGTACCACACGTCCTCGGTCACCTCGTGCTTGTGGTCGTCAGCACGCCAGGCCTTCGTAGTTCGCTGACCGTGGATGTCGTGCAGGTCGGGTCCGCCTTGGCATGCTCCAGGATGGAAAGTCGTCCTTCTTGGGTGGACGTGGTAGCGAATCCATTCCTTGTCGGTCTCCTTCCAGTAATCATCTGGATGGTCCTCAAGCCAAGGTGTTTCCTTGGCGTTTCCCCAGGCGGCGTCTGTCACCGTAGAGATCCGTAGGTCCTTCCAGGGGATGGGCATCACCTTGATGCCCAAGGCTGCGTGCTTCACGGTCTCGTCGGCGATCTTGTTCCCCTCCAGTAGGTCCATCACGCGTGGTGATGGAAAGGACTGCTGCAGCAGGGACACGCGTCCTGCCAGGTCGCACCTTGTCTCCTTGGAGAGCCATGACAAAATGCCCAGTTGACTCCGCAGCTGGTCAATCTCGTTCTCGGTGCACCTGGAGTATCTCTGTTGCTTCCGGGCTTTCGAGACGACATTCTTGAAGACCTTGTCCTTCACGTAGAACTCCTGGTCAATCAGGATGGAGGCGTCCTCCTGTAAGCTGATGTCCTTGCCACAGAACCGGCCACTCTTTGTCTGGTTCTTTCCAAAAAGGTACTCCTTGGCAATCTGTTCGATGTTGCTCCAGTGGCGGGACGTTCCGCCGTGTAGCAAGTCATCAGTTGCCACCCCCACAACCACCACGGGCTATTCGATGCTTGCATCCCAATCACTAGTTCGTTCCTGTTCGCTTGTTAGATCCTGTGTCGAAAACTTGTTGTTCGAGTGAGTGATTTTGTCCATCGTTCCGTACCGCAGAGACAACAAACCGACCATATTTCTGCGCGATCGAGAACCATCAAGAACGTAAATGTACAGTCCATGTACAGGGCATTACTACATTACTGTTTCACCCCTACTATATACCGAGTATCACGCGACGAGGATCGCGGTGTGATACTTCGACGGGAGAAAAAACAAAAAGACCTTAAATCCTTAAGACACCACAAATACATAACTCTTACAAATATATCAGGCTAACTATACATATATTTATATATATATATATATATATACATACACAGCTTTTATACATAACAATATATTTCTGTCAAATAGTTGGACCACGGATCGGTCCGAGTTGGAACGAGCCCTTGCTGGGCATTTCTGGATCGAGGCGATTGTCGGTGCTGTTCATCAGATCACATGCATGTGTGCTTGCATGCATGCTGCAGTTCGACCATTGATCGATGGAAACGAATGCCACAGGGTTTTTGATCGAGCACCGGCCTGTAGCATGTTAAATCGAAACATGTGCAGCATGTGATCCTGCATGCATGCAGCAGTGTATATTGCACTGTACGTACGGTGGAAATCATTGCATCCAGACCTGCACTGTAGCTAGCCATGCCCTCCTACGTTGCTGAGCAAAGTCGCAAGCAGAAGGTTGAGAGACTGGCTGAGTTGATCTGGGAGAAGGTATCCCAGCCTCGTTTATGTGAAATCCGGGAAACAGGGGTACTGACACCCACTAACAGCCTTCGACATCGTGCCACGAGGGAGCTCCTGAGTTGGGCTAGCCAGCTAGATGGGAGGTGGTTTACCACTGGCATGGTCAAAGATGCATTGGTCAAGATTGTGGATAGCCATGCTCTCGAGGTCCCCGAGACTACCCCCGGCTTTGCATTCCTGATACCGACGTCGAGGTTGCTCAATTCAATAGATAAACCCTAAGGCTAGGTATTCAGACTTGTTGCGAGTTCGATCCGGCTGTATATACTTTGTGCAACTGAGGGGGAAAATCCGGAAGAGGAATGGGGTGATGAAGATGAACATGCTTTTGGCGATGGCGTCGCTGCTCCTGTTCCCAAGGTTTCTTTGAATAGCACGGTATATATTACTCGCAGTTTGAGTGCGCTTCGCGTGCAGTGTGCAATGCTTGACCCGGTCAGTTATCCAAGGATGGGGAGAGTGATATGCCAAAGGTGACATAGTTTGCACTATTCCGGATGCATACAGACATGTATGTAGAGTTGCTCTATATGTTGACCCGGTCCTCCTGCAAATCCGAGGCGAGTGACGATTGGTCGTGGAAGGACGCGTCGCAGGTTCGTGAGATTTATGATGGCCCTGAGGACCGTTTGCAATTATCAATCCCGAGTAGAATATTTAACCTGGGCCCAATAGGACCCTCATAAATCCTCAACCCCTGAACCCTAAACCTTAAACTTAAACCCTAAAGCTGGTTGGGGTAGGTGGGGATAGGCTATGATAGTATACAGAGGATGCGATTTCCAAATGCGGGTCATGCCACTGGTTCGACGGAGAGGAGTGGCACGTGGGTGATGAGCCCCCGGTGGAGATGTGGTTTGTTCCCGTGGGTGAGAGCGCTGGGGCCGATGGTGGTGATGAAGCCGCCGATGAAGATCCTGCCGATGGCAATGAAGGCCCCGATCACACGGAGCCGTGGGAAACCGGCGCCAGTCATGATCATGAGGACTGGGCTGGCGAGGAGGAGTGGGCTCCCGATGAGGAGCCATGGGTTCCCAATGGTGATGAAGACGTTAATCAAGCCGAGCACTTGGGTGAGAGTTGGGCTGCTGACGATGAGCAGCAGTTGACTGCCCAGGACGAGCCATGGCCTGCCGATGATCCCAGTCACCAGGCGGAGCCGTGGAAAGCTTCCGATGATGACGGCCCCGATGAGGAGCAGTGGAAAGCTGCCGATGATGAAGGCTCCTATGAGGAGCAGTGGGAAGCTGCCGATGATGAAGGCCTCGATCACGATGAGGAGCAGTGGGAAGCTGCCGATGATCACGGCCTCAGCTGCCGATGATGAAGGCCCGGATGAGGAGCAGTGGAAAGCTGCCGATGATGAAGGCCCCAATCACGAGGAGCAGTGGAAAGCTGCCGATGAGCAAGGCCCCAATCCCGAGGGCGAGCAGTGGACAGCTGCCGATGATGAAGACCCCAATCACGATGGCACAAGCATGGCTGATGAGGAGTGGGAGGCGGCTGTCGGCGCAGAGACCGACATTTACCCCACGTGGCCAAGGGCCCCGATCACAAACGTGACCCAGGAGTATCCTACGAAGGCCGACCGAGAGCGTCTCGATGTTTGGTGGTCCAAGTACAAGACAAACCCAGCCCAGGAGTCCATATAGTTGACTAGTTGTGTATGTTTCGTGGTTCGGATTGATTGAATTAATTTGGGTTCTTATATATCCCGCACACATGCAGGAGCCTTCCACTGCCGGGAACAAGAAGGTTTCGAACCCCACAGAGCCCGTGAATCACGCTGAGCCGATGCCCACAAGCCTCGAGGACGGTCGTTTGAAGATATCGTGGTCGAACATGGAACACAAGACCAGTCAGATGTACCACTAAGTTGAATAGGTACCGGAGGTTGAAACAAATGAATATGTGTATATATATAGGTATATGTATGAAAACGAACCTATACTACACAACTTGGTAGACTAACTTTTCAATCAAAGATCGAAGTACACAGATAAGCCTGCTATGTATGTATGTTTGTATATATATACACACATGTATACATGAGTAAATCTTCAAAGTAGATAGATAATGAGATAGATCATAGAAATAAAATCATAAGCTATAACGACTAACGCATATAATCGATATTCACGCTAAATAATAATATAGACCAATATACGAATATCAATCTGCACACGTGGTGGCATATATAGAGATCAGATTTCAAACGCAGTTGGCTTATATTGGAATAATATGGCGGGTTATAGATGGAATCAATTTAGAACAGAACCATACGGTTTAATCTGATTTGAGTAGACCAGGTTGAGCTGACTACTAGTATAAAACTAAAATGTAACCTAATGGTAAACCAGACCATAGATATTGAAACGAATTAGTGCGCATCCACGGTGGCCAGCCGAGTTTGGTTGGACTGTAGTGGGTCTGTAGTTCAGAAATCCCAAACCCTAAAATGGAAACCCTACAAGCCTACAAGGCCCTATAAACCACAACAAAGTTGCGACTGCTATCATCAGAAACCTTAAACCGCTAAGCCTTAATTTTAATCCGAATCGTGTTACCATAAACAGAACCCACGATCGCAGGACATGGCACTCTGGCTCGACGCAGCCACCGATGAGGAGAAGCTTGCTATGTGTAATCGGCTTATCGCTTCCCGGTCAAATAAGATATTCGACAACTTATGCTGGAAGCGTGTGGCTTGACGATTTTGCTCATAAGGTTGCAAGGCTTCCGACGAAGGAGCTCCCTGGATCCAGCCCTGATACGTCAATGCCTGCGTGCATCTGCTGCATCAATCCCGAGAATTAATTTAGTAGATGTCGACCCCTATAGAAACCCCGCCCAGGTGCCCGAAGATCCCGGCCAAGACTGCCAATGATGAGGCAGGCGGAGAGGAGAGGAGTGCATACGGTCCAATTGTGTGTTTGTGCGCGATTCGAGAACGCATGAGCATCGGTCTTGAGATTTACATCCTGGGTTTAAGTTAGAATACTTTGTTTAATCATATAGGGGCCCAAGGAATAATATCACCCACAACATTAACCAACGAAGTATTCTAGGGTCAAGGACCGATCCGAGTCACGCTAACTCCTATCTCACTGCCCAGCCACATTCTCGCAAGCTTTCAGGCCGTGCATCATGGCAAACCAGCTGATCGCACCCGCGACCTCAAAGGTCCTGCTGCCGCTTTGGCTTCATTTGGAGTGTTGCGCACTTCGGGGGGTCGGAATTCGAAATGACAATGGGGTGGATCTGCTTCCAATGTAGCTCAGGCATTCGAGATCCCTGGAATGACGGGGATGTCAGGTGTACCCGCCAGTGTTGTCCAGGCGGCACTTAGTGGGAAACACAATGCGGTTGTTCCCCATCGCCAACGACTGCTTGTTGCAGCCGGGAAGGCTCCCGATGCCCCGAAACCAGAAGCCTCTGAAACAATGGAAGCCGAGAAGAAGGAGAAGAAGAATGGGAAAGCAAAGGCGAAACCAAAAGCGAAGGCCGAGGCGAGTGCAAAAAACAAGGCCGCCAAAAGCAAAGGGACGAGACCACCGTATGCAGACACGGAATACAACATCGAGAGAAAGAAGTACTTTGCTACGTTCCTGATCTGAATATAGTAGCCGAAGCTTCAGCATCTATCTCCGAAATCGTAACCCGGAGCACGCCCCAGGCTGGACAAGGGCATGCGTTTCGCGGAGCGACAGCACAGGCAGCTTCAATACTGCCTGCATGTTCACAACGGATTTCTGTGTTTGTGATCTAGCCTTTAATAATATAGTCTAATGGGCTTCGGTGTATGTGAATTTGGGATGTATCGTCATTTGACTGCAGTGTGAAGTGTTGAGGTAATTTGGGGGGCATTACAATAGATAAATCAAGACGATGGGTACGAATACTGAGGGTTGAGGCTTCAAGACCAACATAATCCCAATAATTCGAGGGCCCGGTTGTCTGCATGTAGACACGACTGAATTTGTGTGGTTTGGTCTGAGGAATTAATAGGGATCGGTATATGACGGCATTTGTTTGGGATCAAGTGCATCCAAGGACTTGTTGAAATTCTTCCGGTGCATTCAGCAGATCTAGATCGATTCATCCTTAGGAATTGGAGATTCCCTGGGGTCCAAGAGCTTCCAGGTACTTGATTTAATCGCCGGGCAATGAACTAAGCCATCCCTCGAAAAACAAAAAACGCCAATCCGAGACCCTGGGGTTGTGGTATTTAAGTGCATTCGTTGTCCTCGAGAAAGATGTAAAGGAGCAGCCATCCATCCATCGGTAGTCCTGCCATGCAAAGCTTGACGTTTATAAAGTAGGGTTTCGGGCTTAGGGGCTGTGAAATAGCATCCATTGTCATAACTATACGAAATGATTTAAGGTCAAATACGGAATAACGCACTTTATTATTGGAATACACATAGATCATACTTTGATCGATGCTGCACCTGGCAACAAGAGCTGGCGGGACTTGTTTACAAAACCCTCTTGCATGCATGGCATTGTTGCAGCAATCTGACAGATCGATGGAAGATTGACGGCCTCATGCTGGGGGGCCTTGGGATTGCATGTCGGATTATGTATACGGCTCTACACATCGCCAATGCAGCGGTTGTATAGGAGGCCCAGGAACGAACCGACTAATGATACAAAAGAAGAACCATCCTACGGATTCACAAACCCAATCCCAACAAACCCAACACCCTTCGAACAGCTAATAGGATTGAGACCGCATGCAGTACTCCAAACAATCGGTGAATCATGGTCGGATCATCGATCCAATCATCAGATAGCGGCTCACGCAGCATGAGTTTACGCGTTCTTGATGTTCTGGCTTTAACAGCTCTAGGTCGGCAACGACAATGTTCGGAGCTAGCCAACTCGTCATGCATTAATCACAGATTGTGGGTCGCGTCGCATAAAAAAGGCGCCGAAGCAGACGAATTCGCCATTTGCCAGTGCTGGCTTGTTGGAATCAATGGATTCCGATAAGATCAGAGTATGTGTATGGTATTCTGCTCACCCGTCCAGTCTCTCTTTGACCCCCGACTCCGCTTCACTATCCTGCCTCGGTCCACTCGGATCCTCCCTGGTCCCTGTCTCTGTCTGGCCATCTCACACTTTATCCCTCTCTCTCTCTCTCTCTCTGTCTCTCTCTCTCTCTCTCTCTCTCTCTCTCTCTCTCTCTCTCTCTCTCTCTCTGAGTGTTTATTTGGGTCACCTAAATTTTAGGTGACCGACTCTGAGTGTTTATTTGGGTCACCTAAATTTTAGGTGACCGATGCTTACCCGTTTGTGTGGAGCTTTTAGCTGGCTTTTTGAGCTTGGAGCTGTCTCTCTCTGTCTCTCTCTCTCTCTCTCTCTGACTCTCTCTCTCTCTCTCTCTGACTCTCTCTCTCTCTCTCTCTCTCTCTCTCTCTCTCTCTCTTCTCGCGGGCACTTTACACTTGTAGATTTTACTCACATGACAAGTGACACTGCTGCAAGCGTATGAATTCGAACAATCAACAAGCATCAACCCTAGTACGTGGGTAATTCTCAATGCAATAAATGCTGGAAACCTGGCGAAAGCCCGAAATCTTTCAATACTGAAATCTTGAGGCATGCTGCATGAGACTCTTTAATATATTTGAGAATTCCCACTATGGGTTGATAATCAGGATCATATAGCCTCGAGAGATTCTTCCTTAAACCCCTATAAGCCCTAAACCCCTTAACCCAAAACCTTCAAGTCTCTATGCCCGCAGGTGGAACAACAGTGAGGAGAGAAAGCAGGTGCTGCAGGGAATGGACATCAATGAGATGAAGCGTCGCCGCTATGCAATAGTTTAAAGTTGCGAGCTTTTGGCGACGATAGTGCTGCCAGCTGTGTGTGATCTGCTGCGTTTCAAGCAGGGATTGTGTGATCAGGAGCTAGAGTCTGTGTGTGATGATTCATTTACCGCTTGTTTACAGTTCCGCGACCTCAGACTATATACTCGAGAAGCTTCTGATCGATGCAGGGGGCTTTAGAGCAGTGTGCGTGCACAGTTTTTGGCATGCGCTGCTTATGCAAGTGAGCAGTGCGATTAATCTTGCAACTTGGGGGTCGGAGAGCTGTCATCGATGCCAGGTTCGTGAAAACTCGCTTTACAGGTCCCTCTGCTTGCAAAGTCTCGGGCCGACGCTGGGGTTGCATGGCTATCTACATCCTGTGTATGTGCTCAAAGTTGTCAGGTCTTAAAGACCATGCATCCTAGATGGTAAGCTTATGCTTTGTATCCTTATATAGAAGAATCACAGTAATATATTGGAAGTTATCCTATTTATAACCATAGGATAGGATCCCGTTATGAAGTATACTCAGCTGCTCGTCGCCTTGGCGACGTTGAGGATCAGCAGCTGGGCCAGATTCAGCGATCGTCATTCCTTACACGCGAGGGAATGTATTTTGCTGCTGCATGCAGCTGGTGCTTCAGGTTTCGGCCCCAAACCTGACGACTTAGATTTTGTGGAGATCTTCGCAGGACTAGCTCAAGCTTCGTGATGTTCATTTCGGCCTTCTTGTAGACTGCATGCATTAAGCTGCAGAATATGTATATATATATGTATATATACTGTAACACTGCATGAAGGAGCACACCTCCTCTACTCCGCCGCGAAGCTCTATGGCCTCCGATGCCATGGAGTGGACGAGACTTTACTGCTTAGAACCTAGAACCGATGAACTTCGGCCGAAACTCTCGAAACCTTCCTACATCCAAGGTAGCTTACTCCACCAAATTGGACATATTATCCTCATTTGGATTCATGGTTTTCTTGAACTGTGCAACTCGGCAAGGATCCCATCACACCCGAATTTAAGCCAGCACCCCAACTCTACATATACATCCCAAACCCTATAGTCTCGATAATTAGATTTCGATTATATATCAAATTTCACCTCAACCCATATATATATATACATATATCTACACCTTCTTAGTGTTAAACCCTAACTTCCCGGCCCTCCACCCTAAACGCTATCCTGCCACCCGATTAAACCGGAGCCTATATCTGGCTTGCAAGTCGAGTTGGGATTATTTTAGGGTTTCCGTGTCTGATGGATGGGGAACCACTTAGGCGAGGCGGCTTAGGCCCCAAGGGGTGGCCTGGTATGCCGTCCCGTGTTCTAGCTGGATATTTATGAGCTTTGGCTGCAATGTAAGCAAAATAGCAACACTAGATATTGCATCGATGCATTGCTGCAACTTCATCTTAGGAGTCGTGGATCCTCGAAGCGCCGGCGCTTGAATGTCAAAGGACAGCTGGCTTTTAGAAGCCCGAAATGTATTCCCAAAGCCTAAATATAGAGATTCTTGTTGCACGTACAAAAGTTGATTGGTTCTGCCGTATCTGAGGCGATCCGAAACGCCAAAAGGTCAAGGATGCCAACCGGTTGGCTAGACGGGTTGCATATTTGCGGCCGTGATGCACTATATGTCGTCCTCTATCATTTTGCAGGATGAGCTAGGACTAGTGCGTACTCGAGGATCGAATATCAACACCGATCTGGGTCCTACTACATCCTCGAAAATCCCACTGGCTCCATGCTGTTCGAGTATCCGTGCATAAAGGTGTTTCAGACTGCAAATATAAGACTCCCCCAAATCCACTAAACCTGAAGCTTCGCGCAATCCCAAGCCTTCGATAGAAGCCCTGTTCATAAACTTGAGGCGAGATTGCGAGCCCACAATGCCAAATCCATAAACCTTTGCCTCGGAGCCGTGGGAGCTCCGTCGAGAAAGTGTGCTACTTGACCCGATATATGTAGTTCCAAGCCCTGCAATTAAGATCGACCCATCCGAATCAACCTAGGTTACGCTATGGGGCACTGCGCCGTTTCTGAACAAGCTCTACGAACAACTGTCCGGCACAAGGAGGAGCCCCAGCCTCCGAGTTTAAAGGTTGATTACAGGAATTCATCTTTGCAGCTTCTATATAATTAAGTTCGTGGTATTCAACCATCGTATAGGTATATACTTAAAACACCCAATACCAGCTAGTAGCTATATGAGGATGTTAGGAAGTTCTGGGAGTTCTTGGTTTCATTCGATGACATCAATGTAGGGTATAAGAGAATGTCGGCGGTGGGAAGGACGAGCCTTTAATTCTTTCATATACACATATATAGCTCCCTGTACCGATAATCGAAGCTAGATTGATATCTACCTAGATTAGATCATGCCGCACCAGCTTTTCATGATTATATATGTACATATACCCACACGAACACATGTAACATACTAGAACACATGTTGTATGCAGCTTCGATTGCTTCTATGGATAGATTCGAACTATCGTGCTAGATGTATTGGGGATAGAGTATATACTGTACACGGCTGGCACACACCCAAAAACCTCAATCCTATGAAAGTAGAATGCCGAACAGGGAACTACCTGACTAACCGGAAAAGTCTCAATCAGGAACCAGCTGCGTCGTATCCAATCCTTCCTCAAGATGGACATAAGCCGTGGATATGTCGATGAGCGCGGCCGTGCTCGCCGAGTGCCTTGTCCATTTCTGTGTGTGTTTTGCTTTGAAGTTCAGTTCAAGTGGGACTTACTTTGATCTATGTCAAGATTATCGAGGTGGGTGGGAAGGATTTGACAGCGACGGCTGTTTACCCTGGTACTTTGGCATTGAAGGTTCCCCGTCATGCATTAAATGACAGCAAAACTCGTAGAGTGGTGCGTGCACATGATCGATCCCCGGGGCCCACATGGATGTAGGTCGCTGATCTACTGGATGAACATTTCAAGACCCTGAAGCCAACACCTGTTGTCAACGAGCTGGATATGGAGCTTATGGACAGCAGTGATACTTCAAGCTCCGATTCTGGCCTCGAGGACCTGGTCGGCCCACAGTGATCCAGATGTGCAGGTGTTATACCTTTGCTATGCGGCAGCTTGAATAGGGGTCAGCTGTTCAATTTTGTGCTTGTAACGGGTGAACTGCAGGCTCAGAAGTTGCCTCGGAACCCAAATTATTATGCACTCGGTGTGTTCGCCATGCACATCCGGCCGGGAGCGTACCCAGCAGCTAGCGTGTATCAGCGTGTATCTGCGTGTATTTGCAGGTATGAACAGGCGAATAGCGTGTATCAGCGTGTATCGGCTGTTAGATACTTAGAGCATTTCGCGCGCACCCCGAAGCATCACCGATCGAGCTATTTGAGCTTTAGATTGATCAGCCATGGGTGGCTCCGGAAAAGGCAAAGCCCCAAAAGGATCTAAGAGTGCTGCCGGCGGGGATGCATCGGCTCCTGAGTCGATTGATTTGTCCATCGAAACCCAGCCACGGCATTACACGTATGTCGGGAAGATGGTCGATTCAAATGGTGCCGCTGTAAATCCTGGGAAAGGAAAGCTGGCAAAGGGTGGTGGCAAAACCCATGGAAAGGATGGTGCCAATGTTGCTGGCACAGCCGCTGGGAAGGCTGGTGGCAAAAGTCCCGGAAAGGATGCTGGCAAAAGCCCTGGAAAGGATGGTGGCAAAAGCCCAGGAAAGGGTGGTGGCAAATCCCCAGAAAAGGGTGGTGGCAAAACCCCCGGAAAGGATGGGGGCAAAACCCCCGGAAAGGATGGTGGCAAATCCCCGGGAAAGGATGGTGCCAACACGGATGGAAAGGCTGGTGGCAAAAGCCTTGGAAAGGATGCTGGCAAATCCCCCGGAAAGGCTGGTGGCAAATCCCCTGGAAAGGATGCTGGCAAATCCCCCGGAAAGGATGGTGGCAAATTCTTTGGAAAGGATGCTGGCAAAACCCCCGGAAAGGATAGTGGCAAATCCGCTGGAAAGGATGGCGGCAAAACCCCCGGAAAGGATGGTGGCAAATCCCCTGGAAAGGATGGCGGCAAAACCCCCGGAAAGGATGGTGGCAAATCCCTTGGAAAGGATGGCGGCAAAACCACGGGAAAGGATGGTGGCAAATCCCCTGGAAAGGATGGCGGCAAAACCCCTGGAAAGGATGAGGCTCAGACCGGTGGCATGAAGGGTGCCAAAGGCGGGAAGCAGGGCAAAACCAAGAGTCCGGAGGCCAGTGAGCCAGGATCTGGCAAAGGACGGGGACTCAGCACTGATCCGCATACCCCCCCGCCAAGGAATGGGTCGACAGCTGGACTGCCCAGCCCTCATACCGGCACACCCCCAAGCAACACAGCCAAAGGTAACAAAGGCAAGGGCAAGACCAAGGCCGTTTCCAAGGAGGCATCCGCACCGGAGGGCAAAGGCACAGTGAAGATTGGATGGGACGGCCAAGACCACGCAGTGCGTCGCAGGGTGTCTTTCGATGAAGGCGGGATGTGTATTCTCATCTAAACCACGCACACAGGTTGTTATAGTTCATGCTCCATGATGATCAATATCCCTGTGTATGCTTCCGCACAGTCTCCACTACGACATCGATGAGTCCATCTTTGCCAGACAGGGGTGCAAAGCTGCCTGGTTGACACGATTAATGTACTCACTATACTTGTCGATCATGCCCTATATATGTAAGTCCACTATAATACGTTAGTCTTGACATCTACCAAGGCCCGGTCGGCCCATCCTCCGGTCGGATACCGGTCTCTCGACGTCGAGTGATGGCTTGGGGCCGGTCGAGATGGCGCCGCTTAATATTCCTGATGGTGTGTCTCAGCTGTACTTATATATTCCCAGCCGGGTACACACGCATAGTCACAACTCGCTCTTATATGCACAAGACAAATTTCTACATGCATACATGTGTGTGTGTGTGTGTGCGCGAGGCACGACCTCTCACTGATGACGAGCGAGCACAGATTCAAGTGCCCTGACTCATATTCTGAAGTAGTCCACTACAATGTATTGTTCCCCCCATATAAATAGCCTGATACCCTGGATTCCTGGATCGTTCTATATCCTGATAAACACTAAGATCTCCTGCACGCCCAGGCTCTATCTGGCCCCGCAGACATCCCGCTCCAGCAACGCAAGGCCCTGAACGAGAAGCTCCGTAGGCGCATGAACAATGGCCAAGGCCGGCTTTTAGCTATAATTTCACAATCTCATATAATTGGGCCACTCGATGATTGCTGAGTGTATTTTAGCACAGGCCTACGCAAGGGCTTGGTGGCTCAATGGGCTGCAACCCCGCCAGGCTCCATGGCCCGGCTCCTCGTTTCGATTACAAACATGTTTGAAATCCCTCTGATCCAAGAAGCCTCAACCTCCTAAAAACCCTCAGGCCCAAATCCTAAACCAGTTAAATAAGTCCAGACTCAAGTTTCCAACACCGAGGTTCGAATTTCTGAAGGCTTTCCTCTTGGACAAGGACATGTCTAGCATCGTAGTCTCGCCTTACTACGAGGAGTCCCTCGGCTGATTGTTACAGATACCCTTGGTCCGAATTCCTAGCTGGCATCAACCCGCAACATCGAGGCTTTCCGAGGCCAAAGAGAAAGAAATCTTCGAAGAGCTGCCATTGTGCATGATCAAAGAAATTTACGAGAAGGTGGAGGGAGGTAAGAAGTTTCTTGCCGAGCTGATGCAGAGCGGCTGCCTCAAGATTCGTATGCAAGCTTGATCAGGGGTTTATGTTACTATCTAGAACATTTTCTTATGCATAAGGTCAGGGCGCCGGGAAGAAGCACCCACAATCCGATGATGAAAACATGCGGCTGTATAAGCTCTTCAAGTCGAACACTATCAGCAGTGCCTGGGCAGGATCATATCCACTTACAAAGTGTGTGCTAGTTCCCTCCGGCCCGGTGACCCTCTATGATATAGTATAGTGCCAAGATGCGAACATCAACAGAGTCGGCAACAAGACGACGGCCAGCATGGAGGCCTCGACCAACAAGGCAGAGAGAGCTGCTATCGCAGAGACGATTCAAGGAAAGGTCGCAGGGATGCACAAAAGTGCCTTGACACCGGCGCCCAAGAAAGGGGATGGAAAGAACAAACGCAAAAAGGACTGCGAGAGAATCGTACTGGGAAGTGTTTATCGGGATTTACCGGGAGCTTTCTTCATTATTTCTAGTCCTGCAGGAACTTACACCGGAGGAGATTGCGAAAAAGGCTTTCGATAAGGACTTGCAATCGTGGCTCGACATATTTAGTGAAAGACGGATCTTGCTTGATTGCAGTTGCAGTACCCCACCATTTAAATATTATCACACTACAAGCTGAGGGTGAGAGATCTCGTTGACAAAGCCGTCAGCGTCGCCGCCGGATTGGGCCAATGCGGTTTAGCAAATCAGGAAGGCCTTATCAGCCAACTTGGCAACATTGCCACGAAGTGTGGCAACATCCGGGACGAGTCTTTTGGCTTCAAGAGCTTATGGGGTTCATACAGGCAAGATTCTGGTGGTTTAGGGTGCAGGGTTTTAGACTTAGAGGTTTCGGCTTTAGAATTGAAAACGTACTCCAACGGGTATATGTTGATTCGGAATCCTTTTTAAATATTAGTATAGGGACCACGTGAATACTGAACCCGCAACCCGATTGAAAACCCCAGAGGCACTAATACTGTATGGTACAGTATTGGGATACCCAAGTATATATATATATATACATATGTATATACTATGCGCTCTATAGAATATGTATATGTGTATATGCATATCTGCATATATATATATATATATACATGTATATATATATATATGCACTTATAGAGATATTGCTATACTGTATTAGAATATCTATTTGTATACCAACCACTACAAGCCCGACCCAAAAGTGTTTCAAGCAAGGTATCCTGAACCGGCTTCGGTAGCTAGCCCGAACTTTAAGTCGCCAAGTGTCCAGGCTCCCCAGACTTTAACCCGGCCCAGGATCCAGCAGATGATCTTCGCATCGACGCCTTTCGATGAGTGCGAGCGGTGCATGCTTTATTACAAGGAAAACGAGCTAAAGGATCGCTTGCAAACTTATGACAATGGGTGTTTTGCAGAGTATTATGTGGTCTGTCTACGACCTATGTCCCGCAGGATTACCAACGCCAGGTTCTCGACGCTGAGGGCATTCTGGTTGGACAAGAACGCCGTTCTCTAGTTGCATTAAGTTCTTCGTAGAGCTTCTTCAGTATTCAACCTCCACTTACTTAGGTAAGGCATCTGAGAAGAGAAAGCGCGAGAAAGCTGAAGAAGAACAGAAGAAGAAACAGCAGGAGGCCGACGGCCAGCAGGATCCGGATGAGTATGCTGAAGTGCAAGAGGAGGAGGACGCTGAGATGGAAGGACAGGAAGAATGGCCGGAGGATGTGTATGATGCAGATGCTGATGAAAACGCAGCCCCTGCTGCCAAGCGCCACCGATCCTAGGCCACTCTAGGTGTTCCTTTGAAAGGCAGGCTGCTGTGAAACTTAGGATGATCGATCCGGTGTTGTTTGATCAACTCCGGCTGGGGAGCTAGGGGCGGTTTGTATAGTGCAAGCATGCTGCTAGCGGCGAAATCCCGACATAAGGCTGGCTTTGAGACCATGTTATTCTGGCCGTGGCTAATTGGATTGGCTAATTAACCAGGTGGTATCTAAACTGGCTCAGTCGGGTGTCAAGTTAGCTCTGCATGGGCTTGTCGACAAACCGATACTGTTTAACCCGGGCATAATAGCTGCCTGGGCCTCAGGGGCATTCTCGAAGCTGCTGCGATGCCAAAACATGTATCCGCCCCGGCCTCCACTGCCATTGCATGTCTTGCAGCACAGTATCGAAGCAGTTGCCTGAGCTTCCGCTTTCAATGCAACAGAGATCCCCGTAAAGCTACTTTATGCCCAATAACCCGTAATTACTCATTCCAATATAGTTTTCTAGAAACCAACCATTGGATGTCGATCCCCACGATAACATACTAGCTGTATAGCCCATGTAACCCCAGAGAATGCGCAACAATTCCCAGTACACACAAC